TTTGGGTCCGCCTTGTCGAGCTGGTAATTTTCACTATATATTTTCTGAAATTTGAACTTAGGATGACTTAAAATTTAAATATTATTGTTCAAAAGATTATCTCGAAATTCATACGAATGATTTATTGATCACGTACCAGGAATCCTCAAACATAAAATATCAAAAGTAATAATGTATAACTTTATTTGTTTAAAAACGCTACACATCAAGCTAATCAATTAAAATCTCAAGCCAACATTCTTAACTAAGATTCTGACGCGTGACTAGACTTGAAATGACTTGGATTTATATTTTGCTCACAAAATATTCCAATGGCTCTTGATTTTTGGCAAGCAATGCCTCCCATGCATTGTATCTATTACAAACGTACGCAGAAGGAACTAGAAAAGCCATCATGTAAAGCCCTTGTCCTCATCGAACTTAGGAGAATATTGGTTTCATGTAGAGTTTAGTCATATCATTTTAATCAACAAAAGCAGCCTATGATAAATCAACACACGTTAGAGCTAATAACACATTAGTCTTCTTTCACATCAAGCACTTGAATCAGTACTGCAAAATTTTCACATGTTTCATGGCCATCTTCTTAGGAAGAGAAAACACTGAATGCAAAAAAGTTTATTTTAGTACAATGTTCCTCATCTTTACAACTATAATTAATGCACGGACAATGATAAAGGGTAAACTCATAAATATTTTCTTAATGATGTGCATTTCTTTCATGCATTTTACGTGGCCTAATTGTTATGAAAGTGAGGGTCACTTCTTCTTGTTCTTTGAAGCGACGTGTGTTTCATGGCATTCTCACTTGTAAACTTCCTTTTTTAATAATCTAAATGCATTAACATTATCATATGAAATACTTACAGCATAGATGAGATAAATTACACATATAAAGTAGAACTTATTAAATTTACATCAACATTATGAGATTTATCCCCACTGGTGGTTCGTCTAACGCTGATGTGTACATGTGTGCAACTTATTGGTGGTGGGCTCTTAGCCTGGCTCAAACCTCTGATACATATGAAAATGTTAGGAAAGAAATAATTATGCAAATCGGTTCAATATAAGGAATAAAACTTACTAGCCAACTCCTCTTGTGATTAGTATGGGAAATCGAGCCACCGGTGTATAACTGGAAACTTAATTCATCGTACTCTGATGCTCGATTCTATTGTCGTCTCTATCTTCCTAAAAATATAGGAGAAGACCCATGCTCTGGTCAACTCAGCCCAAATATCCTTACAAATCCAGATAGGCTTCTCTCACTTCTTATGGATAGTTGTGATTCTGTGAACATATCCTTCAAGTGATGGTGGCTTCGATCCTCAAAGTTTATTTGAATCTACTGATGATGATGAGCATCCCACCAAAAATCATTCAGTAAAATAATTAGGAAATAATGTTAATAGTTAAAAGCACATAAGTGTATAAATGTGATTAAAAATCATTTAACCTTCACTGGAGCTCTCTGAACCACATATCCGAAACCTTAATCGGGATCTTCAACCACATAATATAGATACTTAACATTATACCTTCTCATAATCTTCATGATCCTATGGATAGGCTGCCTCGACAAATAAAATTTGGAAAAAAAAAATTAATTTTAGTTAAAGAATATAGTGAAAGTTAATTTCAACTGCTACAATTAAATTTACTTATGAATCTCCAATTGGATCGATGTGCATCCATCCTGAGGTGTCCATAGCATGCTTGACCTGGCTAG